TTTTTTTTTATTTATTTCTACATTATTAAATGAATAATTGTAAATTTGTATAGAAAAATGTGTCTGATTTTAGGCTGCTTTTGATTGTGCACATTTCCTAAATTGCATTTTTTGGTGTCGTACTTGGCGAGATGCCTACCTTGACTGCAGTTTTAGGCATAACCTCTTGCGAGCTGCCTATCTAGACAGAGTTTTTTGGTGTCATACGTGGTGAGCATTTTTGACTGCATTTTTGCACATCAAACCTAGTGAGCTGTTTTTTTTTTGTCTGTTTTTTTTGTTTTTCCAGCTCGCTTAAGCATTTGCTACATGAATAGTTATAAATATTTTATAGTAAAATGTGTTTGGTTTTGGGCTGCTTTCTTACGTCTACTTTTGCTCTGTTTTTTCCATCTTATTATATATTTGGCATGAAATTATTTAGTTTAGTCACCAGATGCTTTTTAATCATTCCAGATTCAGATTAATTAGTGACATTTGGTTCCCTTTTGTGTCCAACTCAAGGTCACGTCAGTGATATCACAGATATTATAATCATCAACGTTTTGCATTTGCAATCCAGATCTTTAATAATTCAGATATATATATATATATTATAATCGGTTTCTGGTACGTGAACTTAATTTATTTTGTAAAGCGCTGACATGATGCATAGTCTCGCACTGGGGTTCTTTTTGACCTTGCGATGTTCAGCTGTTGTTATTTTATTTATATGTATTTTTAAACACTCATGCGGTGTATTGTTAGGTGTCCTGGTTTCCTGTGCCACCGGCCTGTTTCTGTCATGCCGAATATTAATGTTCGTGCGCGAGAGGCGCTGCGGTAAGGAATGATCCACGAGCTTCTGTTCGTACAAGCTCATCTGCATCACCACAGGAGGATTCTCACCTGCGCGCCCCCATCCCCCTTTCACCTGAGTATCACTTCATTCTGTTGCACCGCATTCGTTATAGACAATGAGATGACTTTTATTTAATGACTTCTTGCCTAGTAGGTGATTGTGCTCTCTGTTCAACCAATATTGCCATTTTCGTTTACAAAATTAAACTAGTAGTATGAAATGTATTTGAAATGGTGTCCAAAGAAGATCAAAATAATTTTTTTTTTAAATTTTTGTATGTCATTGTGAATGTGTTCACCATATGTGCCCTTTTCACCCAGTACGCACAGTGAATCTAGAACATGACCTTCTAGTTTAAGAAGTACAACTAGTGCTGTGATATGCAGCTGAACTGGTGTCCAAACTAGGTCAGAGGCATCTGGTTATGCTTTTGACAAAATATTTGTTATAGTCTTGATTGTTGCCTGTTCACCTTGTGCTCCCTGTTCACCCAATAGGTGCCATGAATGTAGAGCAGGATCTTCAGTTTGATTTAACATTGTGATTGCTTACATTACCTTATATGTAGAGATCCTTAGAGTTTGGACAGGAAGTATTTATGTGGTGACTTTCTTTTTTGGAGAGGATTAAAGGGCATTTACACTTGACGCGTTTTTGTGTTTAAGCTAGTCATTGAGCATCCAAAAGCAACAGAATACAGGGTATTGAGAGGCGTGTTTTTTAATTTTTTTAACTTGACACCTTTTTAAAAACATGACACCTTTGCTGTGTGTCTCTAAAAAGCCATGAGAAACAATGCAACAGCCATAGATGTCCATCTGACGCATACGTACATAGACAAGAAATTAAAAATAACCCACCTCGGGTGCTCAAAAGCACTTTTTTCTGTCCTGTACTTGAGTAGTCAATATGAACAAAATGAGAAATGAGGGATAAATCATCCTATGCTTATGGCCAAAAATTGCTTCTAGTCTTGAATGTTACCTTTTCACCATGTGTGCCCTGTTCACCCATTAAAATTCTGTAAATGTAGAAACGGGCATTTGTGTTAAGGAGTGTGCAGTGATATGTAGTTGAATTGGTGTCCAAAAGAGCCCATAAGCACTTTGATAAGTTTTTAGCAACATAAGTTATCATCTTGAACAATACCTTTTCACCCTGTGTGCCCTGTTCACCCAAAACATAATGTGAATTTAGAGCGACTTTTGTGTTAATGAAAGTATAGTGATAAAGTTGAAGTGGTATCGAAAAAAGGTCATAGACACTTTGGTAAGTTTTTGGCAAATCATTTTGAATGTTACCTTTTCACCTTGTGTGCCCTGTTTACCCAAAAAGTGAGAATTCACAGCTGGACGTTTGTGTTAGTGAGTGTACAGGGATATACAGTTGAATTGGTTTTCAAATAAGGGGTCAGGATCACCTTGTTACGCTTTTGCCAAAATATATGCTGTCATCTAAAATAGTACCCGTTTGCCCTGTGCACCTTGTTCACCCAAAAAATAGATTGAATCTAAAAGCCAGACATTAGTGTGAAGGAATGAACTATAATATTCAATTGAACTGATGTCCAAAAGAGGTCAAAGTCTTGTTATGCTTTTGGATGAAAATCTGTCATCATCTTGAATGTTACCTGTTCACCCTCTGCTCCCTGCTCACCCAATAAATACTGTGAATCTAGAGCAGGACCACTTTGTTTTTACAGCAAGATTTGTTATCGCCTTGAGAGCATCTCGCATCCAGATTTCCACAAAACCCTCATCAGCTCATTTTTCTTGCATGCGTCCGGGTCTCGGAGCTGCCCAGAGGTGTCACCTGGACCAGAGAAATGACCGTTGTGACCGGTCACCTTTAAATGTCAACACATTTTCTCATTCTCTTCTTACATGGCTGGAAAATCCGGCGGACAGCAGACCTTCTTTCTTCCCTATGAATTAACGAGAATAATGTGTGGTGTGGTGAATGATGGCGCCGTGGTATTTTGGGGCGCTACAGAATTATTGACCTGTTCTCTCTTTCGGTAATCAGTGTGGAGCTGGATGTTTCTCCCTAATGAGATAATATCTGATACAAATTACTACTGTGCTACCTCCTGCTGCCTCCGCTGCTTTAGTAATCCATATCTTTTTCATTTATTCTTGCTGTTTTGCATAGGTAATGTTTCTTGGTCAAGCTAGTCCTGAAGCACAACGTTAACTGTCCCCCGCCCCCCAACATGCTTATTAGAAGGCGCCTGCAAATTTCGCCCCTTATCCCGAGGCTATTCCCACCGTGCTTGCGGACACCATCGGGGGAAAGCAGAATAAACGCGGCTGTCACATTTCCTCCGCAGGCGAACGGCATCTTGGGCTACAATTAGCCAGCAGTGCCAGTCCTCCCCCCCCTCTGGTCTTTTGTTATGCAAATGAGACGCATGTAATGCACCGTTTAGCTGGAATTTTTGCAGATTTTCTCTTTCACTGAAAGGAGCTGCTCGGTGAATGGGGAGTTTTACTTTAACTTGACTGGCTTTGTGCAACTGTCAGTGTCGACTTTTTTCCTTTCTCTACAGCAAAAATGGTGGTAGTTGTCAGCGCAGTCAGTCACAGTCACGTCAAGATGACGATTGTTTGTTAATTTGTAGTTTTGTCTGGATATATTGTTTAGTCTGGAAGAGTGTTGGCTTTGAATTGCCTACATAGACTGCAGTTTTGAGCATCGTGCCTACCTACCTTGATGACATTTTGGAAATCGAACATATTGGGCTTCCTACCTACACAGCGTTTTGAGCATCACACAGGAAAGCTGACTACCTAGACACCTGTTTTTGGGAATCAAATCTTGTGAATTGCTACTTATACTGCATTTTTTTAAACGTCATACTTTGTAGGCTGTCTATCTAGACAGCATTTCTGGGCATCAAACCTAGTGAGCCACTTACATAAATGGTGTTTCTTGGCATTGTACTTGGCTCCCTTTCTAGACAGAATTTTTGGGGATCAAAATGAGTGAGGTCCCTGTCTAGACAGCATTTTGGGGCATAAAACCTAGTGAGCACTCTATCTAGACAGCATTTTTGGTGTTATACTCCGTGAGCCGCTTAAGTAGACTGAAATTTGGGCATTAAACAATAAACGGTGTTTCTTGACATTTTATTTACTTGGCTCCCTATCTAGACAACATTTTTGAGCATCAAACCTAGTGAGCCACCCACATAAATAGTGTTTCTTTGCATTTTACCTACTTAGGCTAACTTCTTTTCAAGACAGCATTTTTGGGCATTTTACCCACTTACCACCCTGTCTTGAAGCATTTTTTGAGCATCAAACCCGGTGAGCTGCCTACATGAACAGCATTTCTGGACATACAACCTAGTGAGCCGCCTATCTAGACAGCGTTTCTGGCAATTTTACCTAGTTAGCCCACTAGAACGTGTTGTTGAGCATCAAAACAAGTGATCTAGATAGCGTTTTTGAGCATCAATCCTAGTGAACTGCTTACCTAAACAGTGTTTCTGGTCATTTTATCTGGCTAGCTTTCTATCTATAGACAATGTTTGAGCATGAAATATAGTTAGCTCCCCATCTAGACAGCATTTTTGAGCATCAAACCTTGTGAGCTCCCTATCTAATGAATTGCCTATGTAGATGTAAATTTGGTCATCAGACAGCATTTTGTTAGTTTTGTCTGGAAATTGTTTGGTCTGAAAGCACGTTTGGTTTTCCATAGTTTTGTTCATATTCAAATCCACTTTTCTGTCTGTCATTTGTTTTTTGGCTACATTTTGTCAGTAATGCGCAAACCGTTTTCCGTGACCCACTTTTCCCAATGACCTCACCTGCCTGCGTCAGTCAGCAATGGTAAAGGCGCTCACTAGTTAAACCTGGGCGTCTACCTAACCTCCCTCCAATTAACTGAAGGTATTTTTCATTCGCAGAAATCTGGAGATTTTTTTTAAGAGCACGAGGCACAAAGGGACGTCACTTTAAGCAGGGTGTGTGTGCGACTGCGGCACTGGGTTCGACGGGTAGCTTACTTGCAACCGAATAAGGTGGATTTGCAGTGTTGGCGTGCTCCTACCCTGACAGACTGTCCCACAGTGGCACTTTGCCACAGTTGGTCGTGTGTGTGTGTGTGTCTCTTTGCCGTCTGCCTCTCTCTCCGGTCCACAGGGGCCATCTGATTGGCTCTCGAGGGTGGAGCCCTGCTTAGCGCTGACATACTGCACCCAGCCCTCAGGGCGGTCTGATTGGGCAGGGGAGGGATGACATCACAAAGGCCAGCTGTTGATTTGGCGGAGAGTGTGTGTGCATGAGAGAGAGAGAGAGGAGAATCAGGAAGGATTGCGGCAGCGATGGCTTTGGGCATGTACGCGAACGCTCCGCGCTCAGACGGAGGAGAGCAGAGCTGCACTGAGCGCGCTCCATTTGATGGCACTCGGGCTGCCATGGAAACTAATGATGTAAGCAGAGCAGCGGATCATGAACGCCAGGCAGGTGTGTGTGCGTGAAGTCTTGGACATTTTGATTTGTATGCTGACGTTTTTTCTTGCTTGTTTTAATTGTGGTGAATGTAAAAAATAAAAAAATTGTAAAGTAGTAAATACTTTAACTGAATAGTTTTACAATGAACAAGGTCACTTTAGATTTTTTTTTTTACAATGAACAAGGGCACTTAAGAATTCAGAAATTTGCAACAATTGAGCTTTGTCTTTAAATATATATATATAGTCACAAATTATATGCAAAAGCGTAAATGATAAAATAATCAAAATTAATTTTACTGCTAATTTATTCCATGCTAACGTTAAATTCCATGCGACTAAATTTGCATGTCAGCATATTACACTCCGTGCCTGTTTGTGTGTGCGCACTTTGTAATGACATTCTCGTAATTGCTCTATTTTATCATTTAAAAAAGCGCCTGAGGCAGCTATCAGCAGAAAGCTGGGTGTAAATTACAGCCGAAGGCAGCCTGGCTAATATCGTTAATGTGGCGAATTGTGTAAATGAACTGATGAAGAGAGGAGAGGAGAAGAATAGCTCGACTGTGACAGCGGCCACACACTGAGAATACGGATTGTGGCGGGAGCGGGGGAAAAAGGAGGGAAAATCATTAGCGATGTTTTTATCCAGAAATATGGGCCATTTGCATGTTAGTCTAAAACGGGTGAAGTGAAATACGTGTAGCCTGGAGCCCGGCGCGGTGTTGCGCTTCTTTTGTCAGGAGGGTAAGTGCTCATTGCTTCCTGAAATATGGTGATTAATAATTGATAATGGGAAACTACAGATGGGCTTTATTGTCTTGGACAACACGCTTGGAGCAGGACAATGAATGTTGCATACATTTTTGTGAAAAGGTTAAAAAGTTGTGGCCTTTGTTTGTCTTTTTTCGTTTACTTTTCATGTATTGTCTGTTTTTTTGTCTTTTGTTTGTTTTAGTGGTTTGATTGAGATATAATAAAACGAAAGAAAGTAAAACAATAAAACAAAAGCAATGTTTGTTTGTGGACTGGTGTTTTCATTTTTTCTGCTCAAAGTTTGTGTGTCCGTCCCAGAATTGGATCTCAAAACCCAGTAAACTACCTTGACAGCATTTCTGGGCATTGCACCTAGTGAGCTGTGTACATAGACTGCATTTTTGGGAGTCAAAAGCATGTTAAATGTTTGCCTAGACAGCATATGTGTGCATCATAGTTAGTGCGCTACCTTCTTAGACAGCATTTTTGGGCATTATACTGTTTGAGCTGCCTAAGTAGCAGTTTTGGGTTATTTTTGTCTGCTTAATGCATAAATATAAATGTAAAAGCTTGTTACTAGTTAGTGCGCTACCTTCTTAGACAGCATTTTTGGGCATTATACTGTTTGAGCTGCCTAAGTAGCAGTTTTGGGTCATTTTTGTCTGCTTAATGCATAAATATAAATGTAAAAGCTTGTTATACGCCCACCGAGACAACATTCATGGCCATCAAATCTAGTGAGCTGGTTTCTTAGATGCATTATACATATTGAGCCGCCTACCTAGACTGCATTTCAGACATCAAAAGCTTATTAACTGATTGCCCAGACAGCAATCATCCATTATACTTAGTGTGTTACCTTCCTAGATGGCATTTTTGGGCATTATGCCTTGTGAACTGCCTTTCTAGCTGCATTTAGAACATTATACAATTTGAGCTGCCTAAGTAGAAGTTTTGGGCATCATTTTCGTCTGCTTAATGCATACAGTAAATGTAAAAACTTGTTATATGCCTACCCAGAAAGCATTTTGGCCATCATATGTAGCGAACTGATTTCCCAGATGCATTTTAGGGCATTAAACCTATTGAGCCACCTACCTAGACTGCATTTTCATGCATCAAAATCGTATTAAGTGTTTGCCTAGACAACAATTGTGTGCATCATGCTTAGTGCGCTACCTTCCTAGACAGCATTTTTGGGCATTGTTCCGAATGAGCTTCCTACCTACGCCGCATGTTTTGCCATCAAACCTAGTGAGAGTTATAGCCTACATAATCTAGTGAGCTGCCTACCTAGATGGCTTTGATGGGCATCGTACTTTGTGTGCTACCTTTCTAGACAGCAATTTTGGGCATTGTACCCATACTAAATAACATTTCGAGGTGTAAGACCCTGAAAGCTTAGCTGTCTTTATAGACAGCGTTGTCGACACCTCGACCTAGTGAGCAGCCTAACACAAGATTTTTGGGCATCATACCTTGGAAATTATGTAAGGTTCCTATCTAAACAGCAGTATTGAGTATTTTACCTTGTTAGAAGAATATCTTGATTGTTTTTTTGGGGCTTTGTACCTACTGAGCTGCCTATCTAGAGAGCATTTTTGGGCACCTTTTGTCACTATACTTAGTCTAGATATCATACTACCAAAACATCATTTTTAGGCGTTACACGTTATTTGGGTGCTCATCCGAATAGAAATGCTCGGAAATGCAGTAGTTTTTGAGATGCAGCCAGAGTATTTGTGTGTTTCTGCAGTGGTTGATTTTCCCGTTTTTTTTTTTTTTTTATATCCTCCAGCATCAAACTCGGACATCTGTACTGTCATGTTTGTGAAAATATACAGCCGTCGAGGTCTGCGGGGAATCTTTTCTCTCTAGTGATGCTTGGATGAACTTATTGAATATGGAGCGAAAACTGTTGTGCGAGCAGGAGGGGAGGGTAGTTGCGGTGGAGGGCGTATTTTGAAATGCAGATTCGGATTTTCACTTCACCTAGACATAAACGGAGAAAAATATATGGCAACATCGAGATTAGCCCGCAGCAAGAGAGATGCTCGGATATTTATGAATAGTGCTCGAGTATTTCCTGCCAACTGTTGGTGTTTCGATCCGTGTGTGGGTGTAAAAGCGCTCTCATAAGTCATAATTGTCCTTGAGAGCGTCACTTGATGTGCAATTGTGCCGCCCATTGTCCCCGCGACCTGGAACGGCTCTTGAGCCCAAAGTAGATGAAGAGACGCATACTTCCTGCAGTGATGTGGGATAATGCCAATGACCTGTGCGCAAATACTCATGGAAAAGTAATGGCACGGTCTTGGATCATTCTGATGGACCGTCTGGCTGTTTGGATGACAGCTTGTGTGTTTGTGTGCACGCGTGTGGTCGTACCCGCCTGTTCTTGTCATTGCCACCACCTGTGTTACTGTCATATCATGCGCGATGCTAATCCCTTGAATTTTGATCAGTGTGTGTGTCACTATGCGTCTCCTCTGGTGGTTTTAGTAACATGAATCTCTAGCTGGACTCAGATTGGACAATGTATTCGGCCCCAGTTGGCATACTTTGCAGGATTACCGAGTCAGGTTAGGCCCATTTGACCTCGAGATACAGAGTGGGACTCGACTTGGCAGGGGTTTCTAGATGGCTAGATTGGCGGTGGCAGGATGGGTGGGGTTGCTTTGGGGAGGGGGGAGGGTTGATGGGTCATTGATACCCAGGTGAACACTGGCCCATATGTTCAGTTCATTCGGACACAAGCTTGAATGATAGGAAGGTTATGAAACAACTTATGAATATTCATTATTTTCAAGTAATTTTAATGAATTAAATCAGTATGACTGGTAATTTGGTCTTCTGTATTGATTTATCATTACCTGAATCTATTGAAAACATTAAAATAAAGGTAAAATAAAATAAAAGTATAAAACTTAAATGAAAATTAGAGATGTTGCCAACTAATTGAAATGAATTAAAGCACTAAAATTGCTAACTGGAAATTAAAATAAAATATAATTTAATTAAATTAAACCAAAATACAAATATTAACATAATACAAATAGCAAAGGCACATAACAAAATTACTAACAATTAAACTAAAAATAAAATTGAAAGTATTCATTATTTTTACATAATTTTACAGAACTAAATCAGTAGGATTAGTAATTTGGTCATCTGTTTTGAGTTGGCATCAGGGTTGTTGTCATGATCTAAAACTATTTAAAAAACATTTTTGTTAATGGAAATGAATCTGAAATAAAATAAAATATAAATATTAGATTAAAAGCTTAAAGGGTTAGTTCACCCAAAAATGAAAATTCTGTCATTAATTAATCTCCCTCATGTCGTTTCAAACCCATAAGACCTTCGTTCATCTTCGGAACACAAATTAAGATATCTTTGATGGAATCTGAGAGCTGTCTGACCCTGCGTAGACAGCAACGCAACTGAAATGTTCCCAAGTCCAGAAACATAGCAAGGAGATCTGTAAAATAATCAATGTGACATCAGGGGTTCAACCATAATTTTACGAAGCTACGAGAATACTTTTTGTGCGCAAAAGAAAAAAAAACAACGACTTCAACAATTCGGCTCCTCCACGTCACCTTAGCGCCATTTTGGAGAGTATCAGCTGGACATAAACAGCGTATGCTGTTCTGTGTCAGCTGCGTCACGCGGATATGTTGTTTCCATTCAGATCAAATCACAACAACATAGGAAACAGTTACGTTACGTTAGCAATACAGACAGCAGATACAAATTTCTGAAGATGGAGAGTTCTTGACTCAAGAAATTTGCTAATTAATTAAAGTTATTGTACTCCGAAGGAAGGCTGAAGATGCAACATCAGCAAGACCCAATTAATATGCGTGAGCTAAACCTAGTCATTCTGAATTGAGTCAGTTCTGTCAAAAAAACAGCTATTATTGTATTTCAATCAACACAAAATATTTATAAATTGGGTGGAGTCATATTATCGGCTTCGTATTCATGATAGCTCATTGAAATGCTTATAATGCGTCGAAGGTTCAGCGTTAAACATGACTTCCTCTCTGTGTATGTTCCTGTCTCTCTGCAGCACAGTCTGTTCTCCATATTCATGTCACCACCCTGACACTTTTTCAGAAGTGCTGCAGTGCTTTTGCTCCCGAAAGACCTTCCAGACTTTCCATCAAACGAGTTCAGTTCTCCCTTACGGACGCTACTGTATCCATGCGTCCCTGACCTCTTGACCTCGCCGTATTTGACCCCTGACCCTCTGTCCTTGTGTGTGTGTGTGACAGGTGTCCGAGGGTGATGCGGAGCGTGTGTGTGAGCCGTGGTTTGGCGACCCGACCAGAGCGCTTTTGACGGGGGTCATGGGACTGCTGCTGCCCCCTGTCCGTCTCTCAGTCCGCCCTGCTGCCTCCAGAGGCCCTAGGGTCCTACGCTCCCTAAGGTTCCAGTCCTGAAAACAGCACAGCCAGGTAAACACAATCTCTTTGGTACTGATGTCATTTTATAAATGCGAATATGTTTTGGTTTTATCGTGAAATAAGGAGGAATAGAAGGATAGAAGTTCCCGATTCTCTTTTGCGAATCTAGATTTTAATAGTTACGTAACTTGCGTGACTCATCGTTACAGACTACATAAATGCATTCTCTTTTGCATATCTATATTTCAATAGTTACGTAACTTGTGTAACTCATCGTTACAGACTACGTAAATGCATATTAAAAAAACTGAAAATAATGCTTAAAATATGTATAGATTTCAGTAGTCACGTAACTTGTGTAACGTAGTTACAGACTACATAAATCATTCCCTTTTGTGTATCTAGATTTGAATAGTTACGTAACTTGCGTATCTTATTGTTATGGACAAAGTAAATGCGTTCTCTTTTGTAAATATACATTTCAGTAGTTACGTAACTTGCAAAGTTTACAGTTACAGACTACACAAATGCATTCTCTTTTGCTTATCTCCTTTTCAAGTTACATAACTTATAGTTACGGACTACGTAAATTCATTCTCTTTTGCATTTCTACCTTTAAATAGTTATGTAACGCGTAACTTATAGTAACGGACTACGTAAATTCATTCTCTTTTGCGTTTCTACCTTTAAATAGTTATGTAACATGTAACTTATAGTTACGGACTATGTAAATTCATTCTCTTTTGCGTTTCTACCTTTAAATAGTTATGTAACATGTAACTTATAGTTACGGACTATGTAAATTCATTCTCTTTTGCGTTTCTACCTTTAAATAGTTATGTAACGCATAACTTATAGTAACGGACTATGTAAATTCTTTCTTTTTTGCATGTCTACTTTTAAAAATAGTTACATAATTTGTATTTACAGACTACGTAAATTCATTCTTTTTTGCATATCTACCTAGTTACGTAACACGTAACAGTTACAGACTATGTAAATGCATTTTTTTTTCAATCAAAAAATCTGAAAATATGGCTTAAAAATATATCTTTTGCGTATCTAGATTTCAATAGTTACGTAACTTGCATAACTTTCTGTTACAGACTACTGAAATGCATTCTATTTTGCTTATCTAGATTTCAGTAGTTATGCAACTTGCTTAACTCATAGTTACGGACTATGTAAATGCATTTTTTTTTTCAACCAACTCATCTGGAAATGTTTCAGTAGTTATGTAACCAACAGTGATTTCTAGATGTCAAACTACAGTACCTTGTTTCCTGCATTATTATATATTTTTTTGGACTAGCCTTAGCAATAGCTTTTCAAATGAATCTCAAAATGAATGCACAAAGAAGGTTTGGCATGTGAATGTTAGTAATCAGTGACTAATCAATATCTATGAGCTGATATTTTGCCATATATTGCAAAATTATGAATCCTGTGGTGAAGCCTTCATAAATGCATCATAAATATAAAAGGGTTACTCGACCCCAAAATAAAAATTTTGTCATTAATCACTTACCCCCATGTCGTTCCAGTTCCATGTGCGTTCAGTGGATACTCTCCAACATGGCGCTACAGTGACGCGGAGGAGACAAATTGTTGAATAAAGTCATTATTTTTGTTTTCTTTGCGTACAAAAAGTATTTTCGTCGCTTCATAAAATTCAGATTGAACCACTGATGGCAGATGGACTATTTTGACGATGTCTTTCATACTTTTCTGGACCTTGACAGTGTAATTTACTTGGCAGTCAATGGGACAGTCACAAGCCTCCCGGTTTTCATCCAAAATATCTTAAATTGTGTTCCGAAGACGAACGAAGCTTTTACGGGTTTGGAATGACATGGGGGTAAGTGATTAATGACAACATTTTCATTTT